AACAAACTGACATCTATCTCTTGGCAAACTCAGCACGTGGTAAAGAAAGCATACTCTAAGCAAAGTAGAAGCCATTTACATAAGTATGATATGACAAGTTTGACAAACTAACAAAAAAGCAGGCCAGAGAGACAGCAAGCAAACAACAACATGTTTGAACACACAGAGAAACCTGAAACAGCTGCAAGTCTGAAGTCGTTTCAGATTCGTAAAGTAGAAGAACAAGAAGAAGAAAGAAAGGAAAAAATACAGTTGTCTTCTCCTCATACAACAGCTGGAAGTCTGAAGACGTTTGTGATTCCTGAAAGTACAAGAACAAGAAGAAGAAAGAAAGGAAAAAATGCAGTTGTCTTCTCCTCATATCGGGGGACGGTTTTATTTTAGCTACGCTATTTTCTTCTCTCAATTCAGCCTTACTACCTAAGGGAAACTGAACTTCTGAAGAAGAGAAAAAGAAGTGGAAGAGGAAGAAGAGAAAAAGAAGTAGAAGAGGAAGAAGAGAAGAAGAAGAAGAAGAAGAAGAAGAAGAAGAAGAAGAAGAAGAAGTAGGAGGAGGAGGACAAGGAGGAAGAAGAGGAGGAAGAGGCGGAAGAGGAGGAAGAGGAGGAGGAGGAGGAGGAGGAGGAAGAAGAAGAAGAAAGTATATGCCTGTTTGTTGCATCCGCCCTGCATAGCAGCACGGTGCTACAGGCTGTCAGTGCCTACATTGCCACTATGTGATGCCCAATCAGTGCAATCACCACCCTAAGATGATCAGCATCTGATATGACAAGTTTGACAAACTAATAGCAAAGCACGCCTGAGCAGCAACAGCAACAGAAAAGCTTAAACAGACAGAGAAACCTGGAAGTACTGAAAGTCTGAAAAATTGCATGGTAACCCCGGACCCGGACACCGCACACGTCCGGACTCTTTCCCGGACCAGTGTCTGGACCAGTCCGGACTGGCCGGTTTTCCGGACACTACCGGATACCGGAGACCACGAAACACCGGACAGTCCGGACAGGCACCAGAGGTTCGGGGATGTCCAGACCGGGAAAAAAAAAAAAAAAAAAAAAAAAAAAGG